TCTGTGGCCCAGAGATCCCCAGAGAGCCTGGCTCAGGAAGAAGGGCCAAGCGGGAGGAGGCTGCCCAGATCTGGCTCAGGGGTTCCCCTCCCCCGTTTGCAAGGCTGGGGTACCTGTTTACCTTCTCCGTTTGGGTTCTTGATCAAATTCCGCTTCTTCTTATGGAGAAAGTAGAGGGTTTGCCAGCTCTCTGAGCCTTCCGCCTCCGCATCCTTCCCCACAAAACCCTCCGCCTGGCATTTCAGCAGCCAGAGGGCCCCTCCGTCCACCAGCGCCTTCCACTGGGAGCAAACCAGGCGGCACACCAGCACCAAGTCGAGGGCAGGCAGGCTGGCCAGGATCCGCACCAGGAGGGGCTCCGGAAGGGCATCCTTAAAAGGGGGAGAGCAAAGGGAGGGAGTTGGCCCACATCTCAGGGGCAGCCAAGGGACTTTGGGCCTCAGTTTAGCTAAATTGAGGTTGGCGCCTGGCATCAATGCTCATTTCAGCACACCGGAGCAACCAGAGCAGGGGTCCCCAAACTTGGCCACTTTAAGACTTGTGGACTTCAACTCCCAGAATTCCTCAGCCAGCTATGACCGCTATGCTGGCTGAGGAATTCTGGGAGTTGAAGTCCACAAGTCTTAAAGTTGCCAAGCTTGGGGACCCATGAACCAGAGTATCATGATGTATGGAATAAACCAGGGGTCGGCAACCCGTGGCTCTGGAGCCGCATGTGGCTCTTTCATCCCTCTGCTGAGGCTCCCTATCACCAGTCGGTAAAATGAAAAAGGACGCTGCGCTAGGAGGAGACTCTATGGTGGGGAAAGCGGACTTCCAGTCGGCTCCAGAATTGAATGGGGTTTCGGGTTAGGACCTTTGTGGCTCTTTGAATGTTTAAGGTTGCCGACCCCTGGAATAAATGTTATCAATGGGTTGGAAAGAAGGAGCCAGTGCAAAAAATAACAAGGATCTGTAGAACTGAAATCTGAAGTTATCTAGGCAAACAATGGAACATAGTGGATAAAAATGGTTGCATAAAATTAGCAACGTATGAGGTTTTATGCTGTAAATATAAAAACTACATTCTGGATAAGAATAATAGTGTAACATTAGCAATGCATGACAAGTATAATGTTATTGGTTTTATTGGATTCCGGCAATTACCCCCATTTAAATCATGAGCCTTGAGCCAAACTTCCAAAACTTCCAAAGGATTTATTGGGACTGGCACTGCCTGGGTGTAGCCGACTCTGAGACACATCATTCATGGTCACCCTTGACCCTGGTATTCCCCCACCCCTCTAGGTGTATCGTAATTCATATCCTCCAATGGGACACATCCATAGCCCAGAGTCATCGATCATGTTCTCCAGCTAGAATTTTGTGCAGCAGAAACTTCAGTCACCTTTGAAAAACTATTTATGGAATGCACTTTCGACTTCCAAGCTGCCGCACTGCCCCCCCCCCCAACCTTTCTATTGGCAGCTCTAAAAAGACCATAGAAATATTTTATGAGTTGACGTTTTAGTGTGTATGGCAGAGACAAAGCCAGGACGGTCAACCCTGTGTCCAATATTTTAATACGCAATCAATAAAATTGGGGGGGTGGGGTGGAAATGCTCATTTCAGACCCTGCTGAGTTGGTTCTCAGCGGAGGGCAGAATCTGCCTTGGGAGGCAACTTTCCAGGCCGATCTCAGTTGCTGAGCAGGGATTTTATTCGGAGATGGGAGTCTGGGCTGCCAAGGGGATGACTCAGTTTTTCTAGCTCTCCAAACCTGCAGCAGGGACTCCATCGCCTCCCCTCTGGATCCGCCCTGGTCCTTCTTTTTCAAACCCCCGACGGCTAATAAAAGTGGACATGCCAAGGTCTTTTCTCTGGTCTATCTTTGCAAAGATAGACTTGGGTTTCCCCTTTTTTTTTCCTTCTGCAGTTTAACTCTGGCTAAACTCTGACTGTGTGCAAGTCGCACAAGCTGGAGCTCCTGCTTAAGCAGGGGGGGGGGCTGGACTAGAAGACCTCCAAGGTGCCCTTTCGACTCTTATTATTCCGTTACTGTTTTCATGTTATTTGCTCCAGAGCCTGGAAAAATCCCTTCTCAAATGCCCCTTTGCAGAGTTCCTGTCCTTGCAGGGGGGGGTATCCTCACACACACACACACACACCCATAGCAAGAAGGAGCAAGAAATTATGTCCCTTTTAAGTTGAGTTGAGTTGACTTTATTGTCATTGCATCTCATGCAACAAAATTAAATGCCCTCTCCAGCGTACATTATATCTCTAAAAATAAAACACAAGCACACATCCTTCGCATTCTATACAATGGAATTGAAAACCCCTGATATTGCATTAATATTGCACTATACAGTAGAATTCAATATAGTTATAATAGATAATAGATAGTTTTAGCCGCCTTTGGGGCATCCCCTGGCAACACTCACCCTTCTTCTCCAACCCAAGCCCTGCCGAAGAGACCTGCAGCTCTGCAAAGCTTGCACAGTTGGGGATGGGGAGAACAAGGGCTGAACGCCCCACCCCCACAGGAGAATTAAGGGCCTCTAAGAGTTTTGGGGGGCTCCTCCAAAGAGGAGGAGGGAAGGAGGGAGATCCCTGCCACTTACCATTGGGAAGGGGGCTGTCCTGCGGGCGATGCCAGGAGCTGCAAACGGGGCGAGGGTAGCAAGTGAGACAGCAGCCTGCCAGCCTCTGGGACAGCCAGCCGAGAGACTCCGCCTCCCCACCCAGGGCTGGGCTGGGCTGGGCTGGGCTGCTTGTCGCAGGCAAGTAACTCCAACGGGACGCTGGCCAGGCAGGAGTGGGAGGGGTCACTGCACCCTCATCCATCCCCCCAAATCTGTGCCAGGGCAACCCCCATGGCAGGAGGGGAGGGGGCTGAATTGGAATGGATAGGCCAGGAGGGAAGTGGGGGAGAATACAGGGGGTTCCCCCCTCTTCCTTGAGTAGGGAGCTGGGGTTCCCCCTTGGGAAGGGGGCTGAAGTGGGGGAGAATACAGGGGGTCCCCCTTCTTCCTTGGGAGGGGGCTGGGGGTTCTCCCCTCTTCCCTGGGGAGGGGGCTGAGTTGGAAGGCCCCATCGCTTGGCATTAGGAACACCTCCCAGATAAGCCACAGTCCTGGGATTTCCTCGTGGCCTCCCATCAGGCCACTTTTAGCTTTCCGGAGCAGGCAAGGAGAGCAGGGGGCTGAGATCAAGACTCCCCCCCCTCCCCAAATCAATTGCGCTGTTGGACCCCGGGCTAAGGAAGGGGGCGCTTCGCACACGCTCAGGAGCGCTCTTTCAGCGGCGCTGTGGGTTCAGCCGGCCGGATTCCCGGTGGCCGCGGCCCCCCTTGGGGGGCGGGGTCTGAGAGAGAGACCCCTCGCAAGGACGGGGGCGGGGAGGGGGAAAGGGAATCCCGCTCATTTGCATGCGATGACGCAACTCCCCCAGGCCACGCCCCCCCCGCGGGGAGATGGCCGCCCCGATGCTCCGCGAACTCGGAAGTCTGGGAAGCGACGCGCTCCTCTTCCCTTTTAGTAGCTCTGCGGAGCCCTTTGGCCACGTTTCGCTTTCGTTTTCTCCCCGGGCGGCGCATGCGCGGAGCCTCTGCGGCGCTTCTGGCAAGTGCGGAGCCTGGCGGAGCGGGCGCTGCTTCCGGGGTGGGGGTGGGGGCCGTAGGGAGGGAGGGGGAGCCCCCGGGGCGGGAGGGGGGCGAGGAAAGGGAGCCGCTTCCACCCCCGGGGAGGTGCTGGGGGTGGGGTGGGGAGCTCCACGGAAGCCCTGTCCCTGCTGCGCGGCTCCGGGTCTCCCAGATGTCGCTGCTGCCGGGGGCTGGAGGCTCCGTCGAGGGCTCGCCCGCCTCGCTGAATCGTCGGCTCAGATAGACTACCCCTGGCCGGGGAGGTTCTACCTCTGCAAACGTCAGCACAGCTCCAAGACCAGTCTCTCTGTCTTCTCTCTCCTCTCCCCGCTTTCTCTCTCTCTCTTCTATCGTCTCTTCTCTGTCTTCTCTACTTTCTCTCTCCTCTCTTTCTTCTCTCCTCTTCTCTTGCTCCCCCCCCCCTA